CGACGTTCACTAGGTCTTTGATTAGATACCTAATGGAAAACTAGTATCTAAAATTAAAAATCGCATCAGCCGTACGCCGGTACGCAGTCCCAACACTTCGCTGCCGCGCAACCACCTCCGGTCGCACATGGGCTAAGGATACTGCGACGGTCGCCCGGTCCATACGCAGGTTCGAACCCACGCTCTCTGATTACAAGGCAGGCTTGTGATCCTTAAGGCTACGGGCCGACAAGAAAATGGAATCAAGATACAAATATATTAAACTATTCTGGATGCCAGGAAAATTAATGGCTAGATGCAAGAAACCGAATGCATAAACTCCATTGACTGCGGGATGTCGGATAGAGTCTCTAATCATTCGTGTCGACCATATCGGGGCATCCATCCATGTACACAGAAAGCACCAGCCGGACCAAGTCTCCGAGTCAATTTCTTCATACCTCTATGCCACGTCATGGATTGGCCACCTCGTGCTTTCGCCCAACTTGGTGCAGCTACGGCGTATGTTGCACCCCGAGGGTCAACTGACATACAGAGGACATTACCTAACCATCGTAAGCGCTTAAGATTTAACGAACACTCGAGTGAGTCTTCAGAAGGCTACTTGCCAAAAACCAACTGGCGGACCTCAGCATTGCTCACCCGGTGATCCCCCAGACGTGAGCGATACTCCGCAAGCACCGGTGACCAAACACGGCCAAGTGTTCAATGTCTTCGCCGCGAACTGACCAGCTCTCTGATCCATACAGTAAAACAGGACTTACCGCAGCGTTATACACACCCTATCTTTTACTGAAGGGCTGATATCCTGCCGTCTCCATAGAGTCTCTGGAAAGGCACACGCGTTTTGCTGATACGCGAAGTAAGTACCTCAGTGACACGACCACCAAAGGTGACGCAGCTACCGAGGTAAGCGGAACGACCCACCACTTCCAGTGGCTGTTCACTGATAGCTAAAACCATTGGCGCATCGCTCCAGTCCTGCAACAATACTTTGTAATTTAAAAGTGCGAAGCACAAGCGGAAGCCTGCAGTGTATCACACTGGTCCATTCAGTATGTTGCATAGAGTAAAAAATAATACATTGTTGCGTAGCTACTGCCTCAGACCCATGGAGACCTATGTCCTCTGCTTATACAATATTACTTAGTCTGTCGCTCCGGTAGTCTCAAAAACGATATCCTTTTTGATCATTTCGATTACAAAGCGGAAGATGAAATGAAATATAGGACAACCCTTGCCAACCTCACTTGACGTGGTGACCTCAGGAGACAGCTTTGTGTAGATCCTTACGCAGCCTCCAAAGCCACGGTACGATGGAACAGTGACAGAATGCGGATAAAAAGCCACGACTTGACAGGCTCCGTGAGATGGTTCTGTGAAGTACGTATGCTCAAAGATGAGAAGTTACACCCCAAGATGAAACGCGCATCTTTGGACTCACCACAACATCCACGTGGGGATTGGCGAGCACAACGCTTGTCTTCACTCGATGAACTTAATTCAAAACAATTAGTGTATGTGATCTAATGTATCTTCAAGCTGCATTTCACAAATGAGTAGCGTGGAAAAAGAATGGCAAAAGTTGAAAGAGCTTTCCACGGTGGTATTTCAGCCGACTGCATTGGATGGCCAGTTTCCGCTAGTGACCCCTCAATTTTATGATCGTCACCTAAAATGATGTCCTGCGGGATTGGAGAATTTTTGCTTTCTTTGTTAAGATCTTGCGTTACAAATCGAACACAGGTGGTACAAGTTCAAGCATGCATACATGAATCTACAACAGGCGCCAGCGATATTATACAAAGCAATATCCTTAGGCCGCTACTGTTTTAATTATATGTTAACGATATCTTAATATAGTAAAATTCGGCACACCATGCCTCTGCCGATAACATCAAAATTGTGCACACTTTCCGTCCAGATGTCTTCAATAATGGTGTCAGCATGATCCAACTGAACCTCCATGCGCTTTAAATCTGGTGCTCGAAGTGGCAAATGTCTTCCTCTACAGACAAATGTACAATGTCTGTTTTACAAGTGCGAGCTGACCCATAGCAGCCTAACTCTTAACGACAAATCAACTAACCTCTGTCATGCCATACGGGACTTGGGATTTCGATATTCATGCTCAATTGACTTCTGTGAGCAAGTAGGTGTTTACCACGAGGATAAGGCGAAGCACTGGACATTTTTCACCATTCAACACTTCATTCTTATATCTCACTTGTTCAGCCCACGTTGGAATCTTGTTCAGTGGTGTACAGCAGAGCAAAGTACGCAACTGATTTGTATTGGAACAACTACAGGGGCAATTCACAAAGCGCCTTCCGGGTGCTTCTTCAAAGTTGGCATATTGTGAACGATGTGATAAGCTCAAGCTCGATTCGGTCTAGTTATGACGCGTAAAGAATAATCTAATGATATCAACATTTTGCACAGAAATATACGCGTTTCCCACCTCAACATGACATTGATGCAATCAGTCGTCTACAACACACGACATAGATAGAACTCGGTGACGGAATGCAAGCCTAGGATCAGCAGATCTGTGAACATTTCCTCTGACAGGTATGCCAGAGTCTGGAACAAGCTGCTACCCGGAATACATGCCTGCACTCTTGGGCACGCATTTCGCAAAAGCATCAACAATTTTCCGACTGTACCGAATGTGGTCAAATTCTTCAGGTGTTCCATAACAACAAGGCACGTGTACGAGCAAAGTCCAGCGTCCGAGATCCAGTACATGGTTCGCCAATGTACTCTCTCCTTCGAGTTAACTGTTTTTTATAATATGTTATCTGAGAGAGTGTTTGAAGGTTCGCCAACATAAATTCACTCCAATCAACCACTTCTTGTATCATTGCTGTTCTTCAAAGCTTTAATATCCGATATGATTTTTTAATTGTTTGGTCCACCTGCTGCGATCAGCGTTCTGTACAAGGATGCACTAATCCGACCATGTTGGTACAAGCGTGTCTCGCGTCGTCCGTAATAAAAGTGCATCCATTTAATTACTCTTCGTGCTTCATCAGAACTCCCAGTCCCGAGATTGCTTGCTCAGTGCCTGCATTTATACTACGCGAAACACCATTGTCGATGTGCATTTCTGCATCGGCTGTCACTAACTAATATGGGGGACGAATGTATGTAGGTTAAAATTAACGTTAACACGCAGTGCAATGCCTCATGTATCCAGTTTTCTATCTAGTCTGAATCGTCTGAGTAGCAGTCCGATTTTCGAAATTTCAACTGGCCTGATTTAAACTCGGACGATGGGATCATCTTAACTTTAGGCGATTATGTAACACTTGAAAATGCCTCTATGTTAAACGGAGGTGTTTGTGACTTGTGTATTGTCATGCATTTGGAAAGGCTAAATCTGCACGTGTCCCTAAAGAGGTTTAGTGAAACATCATCTTATCACACACGCATTGACAGGATGTTCCCTTAAGTCAGCTGACACTTTTACCAGCTATATTAAGCACCATTCTAAAGGTACAGCCAGTACACAATGGATACACTAACTCTGATGTATTGTACACTAATGCCTATCAACATTAGACAGCCTTCCCTCGCAGGTTTATTTTTGTTCTTCTGCAATATCAATACATCATTGGGCATACGTGCTTCTACTTCTTTGCGGCATCCAACAACGACGGGCATTATTTCTGAATCTAGCACCTAAGAAGCGCCCTACAGAGGCTTCCATGAGCTAAGCCTTAACTGGAATAGATGGACTGCTGGTTCCGTCTCAACTGCAATTTTTGTAACACTTGACTCAACACGTTGGAGAACAATCTTGCATATTCGGTTTTTGACGATTGTTGGCTGGGTCACTTGAATCCACTTTGTGGTTGAAACCACAGCCTCAGTTCTAAACGAAATTCGTCACGAGTTGGCTCTGTTAAAGTGTCTGGTCGTACACTTCATCAGGAGCTGGGTAAGCTTCATTGCCACTGACGGTTTGCCTTGATCGTTATTTGGTTCACCTGTTTGTGTGGAACAAAAGAAGAAGGCATCAGCACTACACCGGTACGCAGTATCGACGCTACGCTACCGCACAACCACTACCAGTTTCACGCGTGCTAAGGCTACTTCCAGGGTCACCCGATCCCTACGCATTCTCGAACTACCGCCCTCGGATTACGGTAGGCTTGTGTTCCTAAAGGCCACAGGCTCGCTCTCTTTGTATGGAATTTTACGAAATTCGCTGCACTTGTCTTCGACAAGTCTGGGGGACCGATTGATGGCTGTCTTGTTTACCTAAGGTCAAGTGTATGGTTCTGTGTTGCCATCAAAGTTTCTGCACAGATCCGAGACATGACTACCTCACGTTAAAGATGTTAAGAGGATAAATGTGTTTAAATCCTGTGGGGTGTGATTAGATTACCGGTTTAGTAAGAGGCTCTCCTGTTCTGTGCTGGTTCGTCAACTGAACCCCAACCGCATACACTGGACAAGGCGTCATCCGCAGCAGTATTTATCGGCTCCCAATGCTTCTACTGTCTTCCAATACCTCACCTAGTTGGGGAAATCTCACGTGTCTGGACGATGGCGCGTTGAAACATGGACTCAACGGTCCGAATCGAGGTATTGCCTCATTGCCGCGAATGACCAACGGAATTGGAGCCTTGATATTAATGCTTCTACTCTACAACATTCCCTCTTTGGTTTCTACTCCTTTACTATTTGGACAAGAATTGGCCAAGTTGCAGGAGTTTCCCTTGGAATCCAAGCATCAAGCCTATGACTTTTCCGTCATCTTGAAGGCTATGCATTTTCCTTTCTAATCCGTAGGCCTGTTTCTAAGTTCCCTGTTTCGTATCTGGTTTCCACCTTTGTTGCACAACCCCGATCGCGCTAATAACACCACGTGCGAACCCGATGGATTGTTTTGACGAAGAGTCTAAGGCAGAGGATCATATCATTATATAGGCTTCTGATCCAATGCATTTACACTTTACCCACTTTGTATTTTGTACTTTATCTTCTCTCAGGACAATCTGGACTCTCGAGGAGCTCTGTTTAAGCTACTGAACCAAGGTGAAAAAGTTACCGCTGGATTGCGCAAAGTGACCGACGACATGAAAACGCACAAAAACCCAGCGTTGCGTGCTGCATCTGGCGCTGAACCTGCCCCCGCAGTTGCAGCGAAACCAAAGTCTGCCGCAGTGGCTACGGCGAAACAACCTCCTGTCCTTGAGTTACGCGGTAACAAATGGGTGGTTGTAAGTTGAATTCCCCTCTCCTCAGACGATTGTATTTTCATTGCTCGCGTTATATAATGATAAAACTAACCCACTTCCTCCTGACTTCTGTCCACCTTGACAGCGTATCCGCTCTCTACTTCCAGTTTGTATAGTATTTTGTGGTCCGACGCATAGAATGCGACCTTTTTTTAATTCAGCAGGAGGGTTTCGAAAGTCGGCCTTAAAGGTTGTCCACTCCCACTCCCAGCACCACAATCCACGACCCGTTTCATGGTTCTGTTCACTTTGAGTAGCGATGGCTTGAGATAGCGAGATAGGATTGAGACTGTGAGTCGCGACACATTCACTCAACGATATTTTCAAATAAATCCAGTAACTAACTTTCAAAGTCCTATGGTGCATTTCCCCAATGAAAGTATGTGGACACAGTATTTAGCTGTTCTCGGCAGTTACTGACACCGTACTACATACAACAATGCAACTACACAAGTCAAAGGCTCTGACTTACTATTAGTCTTTCGAAAACTTGCATTTCACACGCTTTGAAAGTGCATGGTTTTCCATCCGCTTTCACACACTTAACTCTCTCATTGTTTCCATTCTAACTGTTGACTGTATCACTAATCAAGATCCGGGTGTAGAGCTGGGCTATCTTAGATCCTGTGAAGTTACATGCTGTATTTTACTTCGGTTCTCTTCTTAAATAACTGGCCCAAAAGACTGAGTGCATTAGATGGCTCGTTCGAGTCCCTCTTACCATCTCGGATCTGCTAACCTAGTAGGCGCACAATGTTGGGCACCTTTTAAGCTGTATTCCTAGTAGGTATTGTCTTATGAGCTTCCTGGGGATATGATTAACATTTTAGGTCCTATCGAAGCCTTACCCAATTGTTTTCTACGAACTATCTTAAACTCTCAGCTTGCTGCGCTTAAACTTTGCCCAGTTCTCGCACAGCTCTTTGTAAGACGTTTACCCCTATGTATGTTTTACCGATCCGAAGCCTCAATGATCACGAACCTGCCTTGTAATCCGAGGGCGCGGGTTCGAGCATACGTAAGAACCAAGCGACCGTCGTAGTATCTTTAACCCGCGCGCGATTGGCGGTGGTTGCGCGTCAGCGAAGCTTCGGTACTGCTTACCAGCGTACTGCTAATGCCCTTTATTGTTTTTAGGAGAATCAAGACAAGCAGCAATTGGCCATCACTCAGACGCAGCCCAAGCAATCGGTTTATGTGTTCAACTGCGTGGAATGTACTCTGCAGATCAAGGGGAAAGTCAATTCTCTAATGTTAGGTGAGTTTTTTCCCCAAAGCCAATTGAAGTTCTTATTTCACATCGTGTTCCATGCGCTTCAAATAGACGTTACCTTATCCATTCCAACTGTGAGCATTGAAAAGCTTTGGGATGAATTGTCCATTTTTACACCATGTGAACAGTAGCACATGGAGCGGCTGAGATACAGGAAGCGGTGCCATAACCGTGTCACCCCAATACAGGGTGGGCAATATATAAGCTGTCAAACTGGAGGGCTAAACATTGCAAACAAGGTTACAGATACGAAATGCAGTCACCCTTTTGCTGTGACATATCAGACTGCTCTTCTGATCCCGTTGATGTTTCCGCGGATGCCATGCACACTGGCACCACTGTTTTTAATTAGCCACATCTTCCCCTCTTTTTCAGATTGTAGTGCGGCTTCATTGGTATTTCGCCCGATCAGTTGCGAACTGCACGCTGAACCTTGTTACATTCCGAAATAGTGAAGTAACCGGTGTGGTTTTTTCTAGTTAAGCTAAGAATGTGGTCTCACCTTGTCTATTATCAAACACCAACAGACGGGGTTTCTTACTGACCTCAGCTATCCCCGTCAGCTATCAGTAGCTATAGTAGCTGGTGGTCGAAAAGTGGTCTCATTTTTACGTCCGCAGCCTTCAGAAACCACCTCAAGTCTACACAGTTGACTGTGTTCTCACTGAGACGGTACGGAACGCGTGTTCGCTCTCTCCCGTATTACGCGGCGTTTCATGTAACCACATGAACCATCCAGTCATGTGGTTTCCGGATCTGTGAAGATATAGGTACATTGTTCACGCCGACTATCAAATACCTCGGGTTCTCCTTAAACTGGATGACCATCGATCAAATCCAGTGAACTTACAGGCCATAAAGAAAATATTTACGCCAACAGACCTCTGATCGTTGTGTTCCTTCTGTGGTGTCATTACTCACTACAATGCAATTTTACCCGAAGTACGTTGCCTGCGTGCCCGATGAACAAATTACTGACCAAAGGACCCTTGGAACTGCACTAAATAATGTTAGAGTGCCTTCGAAGAGCTCAAATAATTATTGATGTCAGACCTGCTGCTCACTCACTTAGATTTAAACTAGGGATTCATTCTGGCAGTACTTGCATCAAGGCATGTGATCGGTTTAGTTATCTCACGAATATATACAGGTGGATACAAGAAAACAGTCACTCACTCAGCAACGATGTTCAAAAGAGTCGAACGAAACTGCAGTCTAATTGAGAAGGAAGCATTGGCCAAAATATGCAGGGAAGAAATTCCATCAGATGTTATATGGTATCCACTTCAAACTTATGATCCATCACAGACCGTTGCAGATTATTTTTGGCTCGAAGAAGAGCATTACTGGTTATACAGCCAACTGCCTCCGACACTGGGCACTCGCTCAGCTAGCTGTCTTGAGGTTTCCTACAAAAAGACAGTTTCCATTGACCAACCGGATGCACTGTCACGGCTCATTGTCTCTCATCTGCAAGATGAAGAAGACACGATAATAGTCTCAGTCGAGTTTGAATCTGGCGTCAAATTTCTCGTGAGTGACGCATTGCCTGGCCTACCAGTTATTGCAGAAGCTGTACGGGCGAAAACGCCTATTGACCCAATACTCAAGATGGTCGCACAGTTGCAAAGAAACAGCGTCGCGTATGTTCACCAGCCGAAATGCACCAGTACTATAACAGGATACAGTCACTTTCCATTATGGACGACTGCGTACTATTATCTGAAAGAATTATCATCCTAAAGCCCCGTGCAAGAGTGCGTACTTCCGGCAGTTCCACGTAGGGCATCCTGGGACCAACCGAATAAAGACGTTTGCCCAAATCTATGTGTGCGGGTCTTGCATTGACAAAAATCTGGAAGAGCTGATCTGCTGCTGCCAAAAGTGTACCAACGTCACAAACTGGTACTCCATTGGATCACAAACCTGGGTTCGCCATACAATTCAACTGTGCCCAACGCTGTGTCAGCCTAGTAACGAAGATACCAGCTGAACTGCCTTTCGATCTCCTGTTCGATCATTTTAGCTTACCGAAACTGTACTGGGAGGGTCACAGTCAACAGTGATAACCCGATAGTCCAGAGTCAGCTCCACAGGCTCTTCAACCCTTGTGTTGGACGGACAGACTGACAAAAAACACCGTCTTCAAGAGTCCAATTCAACCCAAGCCTATCCTACACCACATCTGGATCGAAACGAAGCTATACAAGCAGTACGTAGTCTTTACTAGTGGTGAGCATTTTGAGCGACTTGTTGCCCTTTAATTCCGCACACCCTAATCTCTCTGTGACACATGAGATCGAACATCAAGACTGTCCACCGTTTTCGAACGTGTTCATTAGGAGGTGGACGAATGGCACACTTCAGCGACTTGGAGTGGGCAGTACGTGCACTTCTCTGGCTTCGCTCCAGTTGTGTTCAAACGCGGTCTAGTCAAAACCCTCTTCTACTGAGCCAGACGAATTTGCTCTACAAACACGCTTAAGACCGAAGAGGAGTTTATACATAAGACTCTATCGTCGAATAGGTGCTCGAACTGGTTCATCCAAATTCATAGCCGACCGCCGAAGGAGGAACCAACTACAGCGAAAAAGATGTTTATTTGTTTCTACCGTTTAAAAGAGATCCTTTAGCCAATATATTAGGCAGAAGACCAGGCCTGTGCTCTCGCGTACCTACACCACCGCCAATTTGCGACTGCTTCACAGCACGCGAAGACTGGTTCTCCAAGACCATCCAAAGGCCTCTCAGGCAGTACGGCCTCATATATAGGCTGCCAGTTCACCTGCAATTGCGGTAACGTTTATATAGACAGGACTGACCGTAGACTGGCCTTAAGGATGGCGGAACACCTACCAACTTGGCTATGACAAGCGTTGTTGCAACAAACTGGTGCTGATAAACTATTGAATCGTAGTCCTGCCTCGTCCATTGTCTGGCATCTCGTCCGAGTTCCAAATACTGGTGTACGATCCGAACCCAAAAGACTGGCTATCACCGAGGCGTTACTTATCTCGAAGTATCGCCTGGTGTTATGTGCACAGAAACAACGGAAGCAATCTGTTGGCTTGTCTTGGTTTTGATTGATCATTTTGGTTCAATTTGGTTCCACATATTTGCTTCTGTTGCTTCCTAATCGTATTGAGTTCTCAGCTGAGGAGAGCAAATGAAATGTTAACATTTTGCGACTTATGTCTTCTCTCTGTACTCAGTACATAGATTAAAGGAATGCATTGTTTCAAGTTCATTAAACTTGAAAGTGTTGCTACGACGCGAACTTTGGGCACGGAATAGTTTAGCTAGTTCAGTTGTTTTGCTAGGGCCATTCAAAACGTTATACAATTCTAGAATGAGAGTTCTGTTATTCTAATGCCTTCATTTTTCGCTTAGCATTGACGGTTAGAGTAATAGCGCAAAGTCGGCAGTTAGCCTGGACTTCCGCCGAAGCTTAGCAAACATGCGTACAGTCTTTAACGCTGAGAGTGGGTTTGTGTTTTGTTTGGTGGGCACCTTTTGACGGCCCTGCTGAATGGATGCAGAAGCCAACCATACTATAAAACAGGTCCGCTGCTGTTGATAATATGAAGAGAGAAAGAGGTTGTCCCAATCCATCGAACGAACCAGGTCATTGAACAAGTTCTATTTGACGGAACTGAACAAATGATAATGTATTGGTCGTTGTACATCGATCATGCATAGCTTTAAGCAGCATTCGACCACCCGGTGATCGCTCCCTTTAAATTCGTCACGAACGTACATACTGATTGCAGGTATGCCCGAAGAAAAAATAAGGTCCAGAGTACTTTCACCTCTGGTAGGTTGAGAGACGGGATGCTGCCAGCCATTCATTAGGATATAGGAGATAAGCTTTCGGCATTTCAAAGATGCGGTTCCTGTGAACCATGGAATCGATGGCAGATTGATATCGCCTCCGATTATCTTATGTATAAACGGTAGGTTAGCGGCGCATTCAATCGTCGAAAGTTCTACGTCCTCTTGGCTGCAGTTTGGCGCACTGTATATACTTCACATAAGCTGCTGCTGCTAATTAACAGATATCGTAAGTCATAGTGATTCTTGGACGTCATTCAACACTGGGTTCTCAAACGTTGCTGCTGCGAGCGATATTTTTAGTTATGCCGATTTCTTATAAACCTGTCGTATTGGAAAATAGTTAGCTGATTCCCAGACATGTCGGCATGACACCAAGATTCAGCTATAAATATGATATCAGGATTATTCGCCAAAACGAATCAACGTAGTGTGTGGAGCTTAGAATGAAAACAAAGGAAAATGATTGTTTAGGCTGCTTTATATACACTGGGATTTCAAGCCGTATGTGTGTGTGTGTGTGTGTAGACCCAGGCTAGAAATTGCCGAAATAGGGCGTGTATTGCCAACCTTGGGATATTATTATTGAGGTTGCCATTGCGTAGGGTGTTGTGACTGAGTATGGTCCTTTAGGAAATATTTCGCGGAAAAGAGTCCATGGTTGCTGTAGTAGCTTATTGGAGCGGGGGAGTGAAAAGGACGGCTTCTTACAAGTTCACTTGTGGATGTTGGTTTGAAAAGCTGTGTCATCTGTATCATGTCACTGCTATGCGGTTGATTGCGTGACGCATCGGTAGGATTCAATGAGCAGCTGTCATTTCCATTGTTGCGTATAATCCGCTTACGTGCGTTCGATGCACAAGGCTTCCCTATACGCGGTAGAGGCACACTGGTGTCAATCGACACGCTACCAGCAGCATATTCCGCGTGATTCATTAATGGGACCGGATAGTCGTGACACCCAGATGCTTTGTGTGTATGATTCAAAGATGGCGGAACGTCTTCCATAACTTTATGACCAATGGATGGATGTCTATCCAAGGAAAATGATGATACAGAGTCGCCCGATGACACTTGCGATAAATCTAGGTCGACCGTCCTTCTACCATCGATCAGTTTGACCGGGTCCATCGATATCCTTGACGAGGTTAGAC